AAATCTGCCCGAGACCCCCTTTTGATTAACAGAGCCTCTTACTGACTGCAGACACTGTGCCCGCATCCAAGCCATTTGGCTACTTACGAGCATGTGTTTGTGTGTGTGTGCGATGAAGAAGGTTTAGTGTTGGCTCAGCTTATGGGCTCATCCTCATTGTTTGTCAGCTTGGCTGATTTTTGTTGTTGTTGTTGTCGTTGCGCTTTGACAAAACTTTGCATGTCATGTTGTCATTATACCGCAAAGCGCTTTACCCTTTGCCTTCGAAGTCTGGCTGCATAGACTGCTGGAGTCCCTTATCCATGTGACGAGCAACCGACTCGCCCCATTCCCCCCTCTGGTTCTGCCTCACAGTGTTTGTCTACTACTTTAGTTGCGTCGTGTTTGTCTCGTCTGGCAGACTGTTTAACTTGTGCGTGTGTGCCTTAGGGGTTTGTCTACAGCCGGATATACCTAGAATACGTTATAAGCACTTATCATTGGTTTCGGCTTGACGCTTAATGCCTTTGTTTTAGCTTGCTGTCAGTTAGCGTGGAGCTTAGGGACACTTCGAATGTGCTAAAAAGTATCTTTTTGTGAAGATGTCAGGACCGTGTTTTCACACCAATTACATCCGACGAGTCGCATTCAAAGCGTGTCCAACCACTCTTGGAAGATGGTTGAATTCGAGTGCATGAAATATTAATTGGTACAAATTCAAATTCGATTTAATTTGAAGCGTGTTGTGTTAAATGTTTCATCTGCAATCATCATCAACATAATGTTAAAGAAATTCATATTTTTATTAGAAACTTTTTATTTTGTTAGATTAGGAAATGTACTTAAATTAAATTTGAGATTCATGTTGTATATGATACCGAAAATGCGTAGAAAATGCATAAATAATTTTGTGTTTATGAGCTAGACCCAAAATGATGTTTCTTAATAATTGTCTTTGGTGTACGTTCACTTATTTATACTCATATGTCGAAAATAATGTCAGTATCAGTTTCTCTATAATATATGTATTTTATTAGAGATTAATATTTAAACTTATGTATATTAAACCATTTTCCAACAAATGTAATCCGGGAAATTGGTTATAACTTGTAAAGTCTTCATTTATTTAGTAAAACCTCTTTCATCGCCTTCAACTAAACTAAAGCAGTTCAGTTCCTTTTAACCGTGTGATATGTAGATTTATCAGATAATTCGTAGGATTTTACTTTTACGAGGCACAAATATTTCTCCAAATTGATTCATTCCAATTCCTTAATCTGTTAACGTTAACGTGTTCTTCAGCAATTTATGTTCTTGGTTATCTTAGGTGTGGTTCGATATCAACATAGCCGGAAAATCTTCTTTGTTGAATAATTGTGAGGATTTTAAAAATCAAAAAATCACCTTTATGTGTTCACAAAACATAATCGCATATGTATATGTAGTATGTAAGCAATGAGTTTGTCTCCCATTGAAACAACCGGCTGATTCAACGGATTTCCGTTTTATTTGTGACAACGTAGCTTTTAAGAAAAAATCTATTTAAAAATTGTATTCACTGTTTTACATTCCGCTTCTCTTCTAATTTGAAGGGTGAAAGCTAAGAAGCAGAGAGCAAAGCCCTATTATTTTCAGTTCAATTATAAGGTAGAGCACTCTAAGGCATTCCTTTCATGTGGTATCGCATTTATTGCGGCAATTTGTGCAAATGTGATAAATCTGGAAAAGTTGAATGTGTGTGTAAATAAATGAGAAGCGCTAATGAAATTCTCATTTGCAATAATTCCCACACACACTCAATCAGTTATTTATTTCCATAAATGAGCAAGAGCTTCATCATCTCCTGTTGTAAGAACAAACGAGCACGCAAGAGCGCTTCTGAGCTCAGCTCTCGGGCTTTCTTATGAGGCAAGCTTCCAAGTTTAGGCATGAATTGTACAACAAACCTAGCAACGACGTTCTAATGCTGGTAAAACGTGTGTGTGAGTGTGTGTGTATATGTGTGTGAGTGTGTGTGTGTGTGTGTGTGTATGAGCCCAAAACAAAACTGGGGAGCGGTTTGGTTTGCTGTTGTGTTGCTTTGGCTTTGGCCGCTTGGTCGTATGAGTGATTTCTGTGGACGCCGCCGTCGCTTCGCAAAAGAGTTAAAAAGAATTCTCGAGGTCAGCCACTTTTGTGGCCCCCTCGTCCGCATGTTTCTGTCTGTCTAACTACCTTGCTATGTGTTGTTATTGTTGCTTTTGTTGCTATTGCACGGGCTATTCTCAGGCACTCTTGACCAACATATTCGCATCATTCTGCTGCTGCTTTTCTTGTTGTTATTATTGTTGTTGTTGCTGCTGCCTCTGTCCGGTTTCGCCTGCTTAAATAGTAAACGTTGCATTTTGAGTTCTTCGTCGTCTTTGTTGTTGTTCTTGTTCTGTTGCTGCTGTTTGCCGCTGCTGCCTGTTTGTATGTATGGTTTTTACTTAATTTACTTTACTGTTATGTTTTGGCTTTCCGCTTGTTGGACAAGTAACGTCAACCAGCAATTGATGCATGTATCTAGCAGATACTGTTTGCTGTTTAAGTTTGTCTTTATTAAACATTAGATGCACTTCGAAGAATATAGAATTCTGTGTAAGTTGTGAAGTTGTTGTAACCAAAACGACAACGACTAGCAATTGTTTTAAAAAAGACTCCAAGAAGTTCCGAACTCGTGTAGTATTTGAATTATGAAAAGAATCAAGTCAATTCCGATTTTAAGCAGAATTAAGTATGTTGTAGAATTAAACTTTTGCGTTTTTTTTTTTACTTCATTAACAAATATAAATAAATGCTTCCTCTCTTATCAATTTTAAGGAGTGTTGGAAGGAAAATATTGATGTAAAAACGAAAAGCAAATTACTTCTTCATGTTCATCAATTATATTGCTATTTCATTTTTAGAGCGAAACAGTTTTGGATGAAAAATGCTCTTTTAAAAACATTTGCACAGCTCTTTTATTTGTTAAAATTGTTTGAACTACACGTACACGTATGTATATAGAATGATGAGCCTTAGTTCGAAAAATACTGTCGTTTGCCTTGAAATGTTGAACTATTTTTTATTGTGCCAAGTAGTTCGGGAAGAGAAAATAGCCCCCTTGTGATGTTTCTACATCGAATTAAAATACTTAAATCTGTTCTAAGTATAGAGTGCCAGAGAATGCACGGAATAATATAAAATTCATTGGAGTTTCAGTAGCCATTTAGAAACTACTATACCTTTGTAAGCTTTGGACACACTGTATAAACATTATCATAGTTAATTATATTGGCCAAGCCTCAGGATAAAATGGCAGAGAACCAACGCAATAGTATCATATGATATCATATTGACCATGTCACCAATATGTGATCAAAGCGTATTTGTATGTGACTGGCAATACACGCATACACTTGACATTTTTGGGTGTGCTTCTGTGGGTTGGCCTCTTGACAACCTGCGGCGCTGAGGCGCGTGGGTCTTAACGCCCATTGCGCAAGCGCCACTTCCATCATCAGCAACAACCACATTACCATCTAATGCCACCTATAAGCCGACAATTTCATAACCAATCAGTCAAGTTGGTCAAAACAAATGCCAAAGGTTAATGCCAACAAATTTTGTACAAGTATCTCTGGCTTTTCTGTGTTTATGCATGTCTCTACTTGTGAACATACTCGTACTTCGGTGGTTATTATTTTTATTACATTTTTGCTGCGGCCACAAATATTTGGTCATATGTAATAAACTGTTTTGCTTTGTTTTCATCATTACGTAAGCAAACTTTTTTTTCTTTTGTTTTAGATATTAACTTAGCACACTTTTTTATTGCGACTTTTGTAGGCTCAGTCTCTAATCGTGTGCGTGCGTTGGAATGTCTTGCAATTATCAATGCCATAAAAACTTAATACAACTCGAATCAATAACGATTTTTGTTTGTGGCTCTGTATTGCCTTTTTTCGCCCTCTGCTTTTTATCTGTGATTTTTATTGGTGCATAATTTTTACACTTTGCCAGCGTCTAAGTCGCCCACTTCAGCACTTGGTTATATTTTCCGTTAAGCACCCGCCAAAATGGTAAACAAAGAGTTTCTTTGTGTTGTCGTAGGATATGCATTGTTACTATTTATTTAGCTATCAGAAGTGTGCAAGGTATTGGCATATATTGTGTTTTATGAACTTTTTATGCTGATAATAAAGTCAGATGACCTTGTCACGGCAGGTGACGAAATGTGCTGACCTAAATATTAAAGACAGATTGTAAATAAATACGACACGTGCTAAAAGCTTGGAATATTATGTGCGAATTGAATCGATAACAGATAGATTCTTTGTTGGCAACAATTAAAATTGAGAATATTTATGTATCTATAAACCAAATGTCAAATTCGCTAGTTTGTTCAGCACTCATAAATTCGATCTCTGAATAAAATCTGCTGATGTCGATTTTCACAAAAGCGATTGTTTTCGATTTAAAGTGCATGTTAGTATAAGTAAATTGGTATATTTTTGATATAGTTTCAAAATTGATCTTTTACACATACTTACATACACTAAGAAGTTGAGTTATAATTTCATTTTAGTTTTAAATTTATGAATCTTAGAAATATACAACAGAGGAATTATAAATATGTGGGACCTGCATTGATTATAACACCGTCGATTTTAGTATGCGATAAATAAATAAGAAGTTCTTTCACATTCATCACTAATTACATTATTAAATAAATCTCTGATACTTCATTCAGAGCTCCTGAGCTTCCGCGCTATTTCAATTCTGGAATTGAAATTGGAAATATAAGAATTTGTCTAGAATCATGTGCATTTTTCTTTAAAGTACCTAAAATGTTACAAAAATACTTATGTTTTTGGCGGCTGTAACTAAAAGTTAGCGAACAGCTCCAGAAGCAGAATTATTCTCAAATTTCAGTCAAGACTTTAACTTTAATTTCAAGTCTAGTGTCTTCGGAAATTTTTAAATATCAAAATTTAAATTTTCCTTTTCTTTCATTTCAGAAATTGTTTTAAACGTTGACAATAATATTATTGGCTGAATTTGGTAAGTAAAAAATTTAATTTACTTTATAAAGTTAATGTTGAAAAAACAATCGTTCTCCGTCGCTTTAAAAACACATAATATCTACAATTTCCGAAGCTGGAATCTATAAATTGTCCAAACAATTTGCATAGAGCTTAAAAGTGTGTCAAGCAAACCAAATTTGCTGTTGCATAAGCCACAGTGATAGCAACAAAAACAAAAACATTGAAACTACTTGGGCAACTTTTCTATTGCTTTTTTGTTAAACATAAAACACATAAAACGGCTTCCGTTACCAAAGTGCAGCGCACGAAGCGCAAGGTGCACATGCACACATAAATATAAGCATACAAACATATATGTACATAACTCTATATATAAAAACCGAAACGATTTCCGTTTTACAAACAGAAAACTTTTTTAATTGCAACAGCAGAAACAAAAACAAAAACAGTAGCAGCCGTAGCAGCAGTAGCAACTACAACAAATGACAGTTACGACAAAAAATAAAAAGCCATAAAATAATTTTGTTGACTAGCAGCAAGCTATAAGTATGTACATAAACATACACACAAACACATAAGCACTACATGTACATAGCGACATACAACGGTCCTCATGTTTGTGTTGCCACTTTTCATAATTTTAATTGTCTGCTTGCTTTTTGACTGACTGGCGCGCATGCCCAGTCGCTCTGTTGGTTTTGCGTGCACTGCAAAATTAGAGCCGAACTGCTATAGCCCGGAACAAAAAAAAAACATTGGACTTGCCAGAATTAATAAGAATATAAAGCACCTAAAGAAAAGAACAAAAAAAAAAAAACAACTAATTCATGATGATTTGTTAAATAGCAAGGAATAACAGTCGGAGTAGTCTTCTCAAGAGTTGAAGAAATCCTGAAGATCTGATAGTGGCCATTCACTTTATTGTAATCCAATGAGGGGCACAACTAAGGGATATATTACAAAGCAATCGCATCTAAAATAGATCAGAAAAATCGAAAATCGTTGGTAGCATCTAGCACTACCTCAAGATTTTCAAGGAAAGATTCCTATCCAACGGACAAGCCGGCAAAATTTCTTAGTATAATGAGAAAACAATAATAAATGAGCTTAATAATTAACAATACTTAAAAACTAATAATGCTAATTGGCATATTAATTTATGGCTTAAAATATTTATGGGAATGAGCGGTGACAATGAATAAGAAGAATAAGACAATGAATGTCAAAGATTAAAAAAAGGCAACTAAAATTTGAATAGACGTTATTTTATATCTTCAGATTTGGAACGTTATGACAAGCGTGTTTCCTTACAGTTATTCATACTCTTGAATTGTAGTTATAATAACGTTCCTCTGTTAGCTTTGTGGACCTCTGTTAGCTTTGCATTGTTACAGTGGCACTAACAAATAACATACTTAGTTGTGATATAACATTAATAAGGAATTATCGGGCAACGAGGACTTCATCTGTGAAAAAATGAAATACTTACAAGTCCCGCATGAATGGAAATATTTTGGGTTTTTCTAAATTGTAATTTCTTTTTGGGGTCGAGTCAATTACGCACTTCGTCGTAATACAGTGTGTATTTTTGATTCAGCCAACACCAGAATCATATTTTAAAATTATAAATTATAACGTTTAAATAATGTCGAGATCAATTACGATTTAATAACCATTTTAAAAGAAAACAGAGGACAACACAACTCTATGGATATGCTTACAATAAGTTACCATACATTTTTTCCTAAATTAAAAAGGAATTTAAGGCAAAAAATAGAATTGTTGCCAATTAAAACACTATGATGCAGAGACGTTTGATTAAAAATATAAATTCAAAAAAGTTGAAAACAGCAAAGTTATTTTTTCTCTTTTACATGCAACAATAAAAAATCTGTAGGCACGCAATTTTTTGTACTGATTCTGCGCCGTCGGCCGTGGCACGCAAACTTTTTGATCAAATTTAAAAATAAATGTTAGCATATTTGTTATGCATACTTTATGCTTGTGTGTATTTGTATTTAATAATTTCGCTTGCCTACTTTTATTTAATGATGTAAAATCGATAGCTGCTGGCCAGCCCACATGCCATTAAGTTCTTCAACTTTTTATTTTTTTTATTTTTGGGCAAACTACATAATTGGAAATTTAATTTGTATCTGTTAATGATGACCAACCAAAAGGTACGACCAATGGCCAAGAGCAATTAGCGTAACGCCTGGTCGCGCCCGTTTGGCTCGACAAGATTTGGGGCTGTGCCAACATGATATTGTGCCCCCAAACAATGAAACTTGTTGTTGTAATGGCTGTTGCTGCTTCCATTATAATTGTTATTATAGCTATTCTGGTTGTTTTGGTTCTAAAACGCCAGCGAAGCGCATTAAATTTGAAGTTTAGTTAGCGGCAATTATAGTTGTTGCGCATCTGTTGCACATGTGCAGCTTTATTTGTAGTTCTCTATCTCCCTTGCACTGTGCAACAGCGTGTGGCAGGCGGGGCAACATTGCTGGCGGCTATGCCACCGTTGGGCTTGCCTTGCTTTTGTTGTTGTCGCTGTTGTTTTAATGGCTTTGTGGCTTCTTGGGGGCAGCAAGAGCCTAAAAAGCACATAAAACATTGCCTCCACATGCACACAATTCTTGTTCGTGTTGCCACTACAAAAATGTTTGTTGCTGCTGTTGTTATTGTTGCTGTTTCTGTCCATACTCTTGCCACATACAAACGGCGACATTAGCCTCAAAACCTTAACATATAGGCTGAAAATAAACGTACTCGTAATAAGAAAAACAAAAACGGCCTACGCATGCGCGCTCTAGATTCGCTTTACTTTGAGCCTGTTTGCAATGCCAATCAGAATACAAGTAGTCACAACGAAGTCTTTATACTCTCCAGTTTAAGTTTAATTTGTATACCCTGTATACATTCGCCTTGCCCAAAGTATCTAACATGCGAAAGGACGCTCTGCGGTCTCAAAAAGTGTTGGCATGACGAGACAAATCGACCTAGACATGTTTGTCCTGAAGTCCGTCTGGATTTCGTTAATGGCTGAGTTAGCAAACTTGGTATGTAAACTCTCCTAGTCTAGAGACTAGAGGCAGCATCAATTTGCGTAAATCATATGTAATTCTTTAATTTAATTTGAAATCGTTTGATCCTAAGAAAAGTTATAAGCGCAACTTTTTTTAACATCAATACTAAGCAGACTGACTGCAGAAGCAATTTTTTTTTAAATAAAGAAAGACTTCTTTGGTCGCCTGTAACATTCTCTTTTGATTAGTAAAATTTATAGGGCTTACTTGAAAGTGCATTGAATAGTATACTTTCCGTTACTCTCACAAATATCAAATTAATATTGGGATATATGTAGTGAACATTAGTAAACCGATTGACTTGAGTAGACCAGTGTTGAAAACCTCAGTTTAAGAAATTGTACAGAACCAAATTAAATAAAAATATCTCATACTTGAAAATCGGTTGTTTATTTTCAAAGATATTCAATGTTTACATGCCGACATAAAAGATGGCGCACCCTGTATTTAATGCGATTCTATTCTATTCTATTGTTGCACAGAAATATCAAATAAGTTTTAAGTAATTTGTAAATCCCAAAACAGTAAATCCGAACTATTTACATATCCAAAACAGCTATTTCTTTGGATAAAAGTAAATGATTTTAATTGTTGATAAATAAATTCTATAAAAGTTACGTCTTTTTCATAAAAGAAATACCCGTAGACATTTACATAGCACATAAATATTACTTGAAATTGATCATTAGTTTTACAAGTAAAGGCCTTTGTCTTTGTTAGAAAATTGATTAGTTTTTGTTAAAGTATTTATAGGTTTCTTGTTTAAAGTAAATTGAATATCCATATTAGTTAGGAGTTCAAATTTTTGTGTTTTTTTTTCAAACAGTTATTAGTCAAAGTAAAGAAAGGTAAATTAATTAGTCTAAGTAATGGCTAATGGCCCCTACCGGTATTATTATAATTATAAAAAGCTGTGTTATGTTTATTTATTTATTATTTTATTAACTAATATACTATACAGCTGTTTATCGTGGAGATTACTTCTATATGTTTGAGGCGAAATGTTAATTAAATGTAGGTTAATTGAAAATTACACTTTTACGTTATGCTTACAAAATTCCAAATCAATTTATCTTACTCGATTTGTGTTTTTTGCAAAGAAGGGTATGCATAACAACTGCGTTCGCTCTCTTATTATTATTTTTACTTGTTTGGTGCTACAAAATCAAAGCCAAGTTAACAAAACAGACAACAACAACTGAAAACCCAGCCCAACGACGTTCTTGGCGTGCTCCAACACGCTCACACTTACTCATATCATATCATGTGGGGCTGAGTTGGAGCTGGAGCTGGAACTGGGATTTGGGCTTTGGCTGTCAGACGGCCCTAGGGCGTGCACCGCACACCAGTGGGTGTGTACGAATTTAAATTTTTAACATGTAACTCATTTTTAATGCAAATAATATAATTTTTTGCGCCCCTTTTTTGTTGTTGTTGCGGACAAGAGAGAAATATGGCAGGCACGCGAAATGGGTCAGCCGCAGGCAAAAAGCGTTGCCAGACAAAAAAAGTGAGCGTGCGCCAAGCTTGACTTGATTAAATAACTGAGGTTCAAGCGATTTGTTGTTGTTCTACTGGTAGTAGTAGTAGTAGTTGTTGTTGTTGTTGCTGTGGCTGCTATTATTAATGAAGAAATTTGGCAGCTCGGCATTGCTGTGCACTTTGGGGCGTTGCTTGAAGTTCTTTAGAGACTAATGAAGCGGAGTCTTAAAAGTACCAGACCAGCATACAAATTTTAAATTAAAGCCGGACACAACAACAAAAGCAACAACCACAGCAGTTGCGCGAGACTCTACCTAGACCACAGAATGATGCTCTCAATCGTTAGTGTTGCAGATAAATAACTTCACTTTTTTTTCTTTTTTGTAAACACACTTAAGCGGCTGTATAAGCCACAACAGTTGGCAACATTTGGCGGCAGCATGCAAAT